TCGTCTCTCAGCGGAGGCTGATGCAATCTCACGGCTACATTGCACTGGAGATAATCCCGCCTCTTGAATGGCTGCTCTAAGCCCCGCCCCCTCTAACCTTATCCCCTCAGGTTTCACCTGATGCCCACGACCTTTCACCTACTCCAGGCTTGACCTGAGTCTCAGTGGCTGAGCAGCTCCGTGAAGTACTACGTCTGTACTACAGTCCAAGTACAGAGGAGTACACACAGAGTACACAGAGTACTTTACACTGATAATACTTAAAATGACATATGGAATATTATACAAATATAAAATACAAATACAAATTTGTTGATTGAACGGTATAAATATATATATCTAAATATATATATATATAAATATATATATATAAATATATATATATAAAAGGGACAAAGTTGAAAGAAAAAAAAGATGTTCACGTGTGATGTCCAGACACTGTAAGACGGTACCGTCCAGTCAGACCCAGACTCTGACCGTGCGGTTCTCCTCCCTCAGATCCGCACCTCCATCACCACCCTGCTGTTCAGTGGTCGGGAGTTCAGCTGGACGCGGCACCTGCTGATCGCGGTGGTCATCCTGATCTTCAATAACCTGCTGGTCATCTTCGTCCCAACCATCAGAGACATCTTTGGCTTTATTGGTGAGTACTGAGCAGGTACACACAGTACACAGTACTGCAGTGGTGCGTGAGAAACAGAAAAACAAAAACCAGTCAGATGATGATGTCATCAGTGGACAGGAAGTGAACACAGTCACCTCAGCTCCGTGACCTGCTGGGATTTGAACTGAAGTGGGTTAGAAACAAGTAGGACTTTATGAAGTCCTTCCTGCTGGTGTGACGTAACCTGGGTGGAGTTGGGTGGAGGTTGGAGTCTGCAGGTGGATGACGTCCGTTTGTACTCACTGGTACACACTGGTACACACTGTGTACTTCATCACCTGAGGAGTGGCCGTCCACTCCTCAGGTGATGAAGTATTATCTGACGTTAGTACTGAGTTAAACAACAACCATTAACTAAACTAGTCCTGACTAGGATTTACTTTATCATCGGTGGAATGAAATATTGCAGTATTCCAGTGTATTGATATTTTCTCTGACCTCTGACCTCTGACCTCTGTTCTCTGGTCCAGGGTCGTCTGCGGCCACCATGTTGATCTTCATCCTGCCCGCTGCCTTCTACATCCGCCTGGTCAAATCACACCCACTCCGCTCCCCCCAGAAGATCGGGGTGAGTGTGCAGCACACACACACACACACACACACACACACACACACTGGTCTCGTCTTTCACCCTCCGTCCTGACCCGCTGTGCGGCGCCTCCTCTTTAACCCTGCGCCTCCTCTTCCTGTCTCCTCCGCTCCTCAGGCGGCCGTCTTCCTGGTGGTGGGAATCATCTTCATGATTGGCAGCCTGTCGCTCATCGTCCTGGACTGGATCCACAACCCTCCAGGCTCCAACAGGGGACACTAAGGTGGGGGTGCCGCCCTGCCCCCCCCCCCTCGGCCCCCCCTTCACCTGATCATCAATCATCAAACCTCAACCTAAGCCACGCTGAGCTGCACTGACTCCAGACGTCGTCTTTCTGCCTCAGAGAATTTCACTGGAGAAAAGTTTTCACTTTTTGTTTCAGTTTTTTTTTTTTTTGCTGTAAAGTTCTGGATGAGGGTGGGTCGGATCAGGATCTGGATCTGGATCAGGATCTGGATCTGGATCCGGATCAGCTGACAAGACAACGGCCGTCCCTCAGTCCACTGTGCACTTAAACCATGAAGAGCAGTTAGAACCACAGGAGAGCACTTAGAACACACCAGAACACTGGACCAGAACTCTGGACCAGAACACTGGACCAGAACAGCCTGGACCAGAACACGGGACCAGAACACTCTGGACCAGAACACTCTGGACCAGAACACTCTGGACCAGAACACTGGACCAGAACACTCTGGACCAGAACACTCTGGACCAGAACACTGGACCAGAACACTCTGGACCAGAACACTCTGGACCAGAACACTGGACCAGAACACCCTGCAGTCACAGTAGAACTGTTCACTTTCTCAGACCTTCAGTTGATCTAAATCTCCTCAACAGCCACCAACGCTGTGACTAAAGGTTAGCGTTAGCGTTAGCGTTGGGGCCACAGTCAGTGCTAACGTGTGTTTTTACTGGAACACCTCCCTCTGAAGGAACGTTGTCATCAGCAGGTGTTCACAGAGGCAGGAGTGTGGTACAAGGCTGGTGCTGTTAGAACCATCTGGAACCGATGATAGAACTGAACAGGAGAGCAGGAGAACAGACGGGGGCTAAAATGAACGACTAGCCAATCAGAATGCACCAAACAGAACAGCAGTATTTTCAGTGTGTGTCGCACCGTAGTCACTAAGCTTTCATTTGTTCACTTTATAGTCAGTAGTTTAGTCCACTGTGACATCACAGCGTGACATCACAGCGTGACATCACAGCGTGACATCACAGCGTGACATCACAGCATCACAGCGGACATCACAGCGTGACATCACAGCGTGACATCACAGCGTGACTCCAGCGTTTGTCACTTTATTAGCCTTGAAGCTAAACCGTCTTCTACAGCAGAGAACCTCCGTCCCTCCTCTGACTCCACTGTCTGAGAATCACTCAAATGCACTTGTCAATGTTCCCCAGTGCCCGGTACAAAATTAGGTCCCCGGGCCAGTGGTTGAGGAACCCTGTTCTATAGTCGAACATGCTAAAACAAACTTCTACCCCAACGGAGTCGCCGTCTTCACTGAAGAACTGTGACCTGAAGAACCGTTTGATAAGGACGTGGTTCCACGGTCTACGTCAGGTCGTCCCAGAAACCTCAGTATTTGTCAGACACAGTTTTACTACGCAGTAACCGGTGGGACGTTAAAGTTCTGGAGCTGCTGTGGACACGGTCATCAAACCAACGACCTCTCCGTTATCTGCAGCGTTTCTCCAGCGCCGTGGAGCCCAGAACACATCCAGCCCACGTGGACAACATTTATAGATCTTTTGTGGATCGAAGTACATGAAACAGTGAGATATTTCAAATGAAATAGTGATTTTTGTGCCTGTTTTTGATGAGAACTCTAGTCTTTTTGGACGGTTGTAAATGCCTGTAAATAGTCTTTATATTTTGGTACAGTCACACTCGTGACTCGCTGTTCTGCCTAACCAGTCTGCTGTTGTGTATATAGTGCTGTGCAAACGTCTGAGGCGCAGTATGTGGTTTTAGCCCCGCCCCTGGACTACACCTATTGGTGGTCTGCGACCCAGATCTTTGAAACAAAAACAGCCGTGTCTTCTGCAGCCTGAACGTTTGACACAGTAGTTTATACACACACACACACACATATATGTAGAAATATATTTACACATACATAAATGTATATGTAAATATATGTATACATATATATTTACATGTACATATATATATATATATATATATACAGTGGCCTCTCTCCTATCACGGTAGTTGCGTTCAAAGACCTACTGCGAAATGGGAAAAATCACGAAGTAGAGCAGAGATAGTTATTATATTATTAACGTATATATATTTACCCAGTAGAGTTGTAGAACGGTGACACAGAGAGCCAATCAGAGTGAGGAACAGAAGAGCATCAATTAGCCAATGGTACAGCCAGTACTCATTGTATTAGCCAATAGTATGCTGTGTACTACACTGGTCTAGGTAAACAAAGCTAGCAGCGGTCGTTCGCAAATGGACTTATCGCAATTTCAAAACAAGAATCCACATTTTTGAAGACAAAACTTTCGTATGTTTAATTATGTCTTAGTTTAGTTTTTGCCATATTTCGAGATATATCAAAAATTTCATGAGATCGGATTAAAAAAAAATTAAGCAATATACTGAGGGAGCAATACAGAGAGGGAACACTGTATATAAATATATCTATATATATATATATATTGCTATATATTTACATATGTATATATATTTCTATATATTTACATATATGTATATATAGAAATATATTTACATATATTTACATGTACATGTATATATATAGAAATATATTTACATATATATGTGTATATAAATGTCAAAGACTTTGCAGTGGAACTCTCTGTTTTTCGTATATTTGCCTGTATATTTGTTTAAATCTAGTTCATCAGTAAATATATCCACTTTTAAACTTTTCAAGCCGTCACGTGCGTCAAACACTCGATCGCCTCACAACAGTTCATGGAACCGTTGACGTGCACAGGCAGAGCTGGATAGAGGGCAGTGTTTTCTGTTTATATTTCCTGGAACTGTTTAGTTAACTAACCCTGGAACTGTTTTATGATGTCACTGAACTACAGTGTTCTCAAGTCTGACACCAGCAGAACTCTCTGGAACTGAAGGGGTTCCTGAAGAACCCCCATTCACTTGAATGTTAGCCTGGAAACAAGCTCCTGACCTGACCCCCCGACCCCTCGACCTCACGACCCCCCGACCCCCCTGTAGTATCTCAGGTAAACAGTGAACGACTGTTGATCAAACATTGTATCATCTCAGTCCTTTTGCATGATCGAGCCACGACAGCCGTTGTTGTTGTTGTTGTTGTTGTTGTTGTTGTTGTCATACTGTAGTGGCTCAGGTGACGTTGTTCTTTGGAGTTGTTAATGTTAGCTAGTTCACAGCCAATGACTGTGGTTCTACAGAACCAGCAGTCTGTTCTCTACAGAACCAAGTGCCTGTTTGTTGGTTTTTTATTATCAGTGATTTTGTTCCAGTGGATCACCAATAAAAATGTGAAAAGAAAAAAAAATCATCTGTGTCCTTCTTCAAGAACAGTACTTTCACAGTACTTTCACAGTACTTTCACAGTACTTTCACAGTACTTTTGTACAGAACAGTGATTTTGCTGATTGTCATAATATTTTGATTCTTTTATAACTAAATCCATTCAGTTCAAGGTGAAGGTTATTATTAACTCTAACTATATTAACTAGAACTAACTGACCTGACGGTTGAACTAACCAGAGGTCGACGACCTTTTGTTCACCACACAAACAAACGTCAAAAACACACTAAACGTTAGCCATTACCCAAGGTGGTCAGTGCTACCTGCCTTACATCAAGAAGGTCAGTGGTTCAAGCCCCTGCTCTAACAGCTGGGCGCTCTGTTCCCTCCACGGCATCAGACTGACCGTCCACTGAACGGTCGAGTCCTGTGGACCGCAGTAACCCCGCCCTGCCCCGCCTTCAGCTGACGGCTGCTGTGATTGGCTCCCTGAGAAGGAGTGAGTGGAGGAATGATTAACCCCGGTGAAGACGCAGCGGCTTCCTGACGACTCTTACACAACCTGTGTCAATATTATGGTCTGTTTCCACCAGGGCTCGGTGACAGTGGGCCTCTGGACCTGGACTGGACCTGGACTGGACCACGCTGGACCTGAGCGGCTCACACCTACCTCTGACATGTAGCAGCAGAGCGTCATGTTCCCACCAGGTCAGACCAGGGGTCGGAAAAACGCTCAGGTGACGATTGAAGTTCTCTCCAGACTGGAGGACACTGGACCTTCACATCCAGATGCCCTGCTGGACACTGGAGGACACTGGACCTTCACATCCAGATGCCCTGCTGGACACTGGAGGACACTGGACCTTCACATCCAGACGTCCTGCTGGACACTGGAGGACACTGGACCTTCACATCCAGACGTCCTGCTGGACACTGGAGGACACTGGACCTTCACATCCAGATGCCCTGCTGGACACTGGAGGACACTGGACCTTCACATCCAGATGCCCTGCTGGACACTGGAGGACACTGGACCTTCACATCCAGACGTCCTGCTGGACACTGGGGGACACTGAAAAAAAAAATTAAATTATATATATATATATATATATAAAGACATATATGTATATATACAAATCTATACATTTACATATATGTGTATATAGTATGTTTGTGCTGTACATATATGGGTCCTGGTCCTGGTCCTGGTCCTGGTCCTGGTTCTGGTTCTGGTCCTGGTCATCTGAACCCTTTGTCTCCGTCTTTACTGTCCACCGTCCTGGTCCTAATTGCAGCTGGTGGAGGTTGACAGTCGTGCACCACCCAAACAACAGCAACACCAGCGACTGTTGCATCATGGTTCCTGTAGCAGCGACACACACACTCTGGATGTTCCACCGAGAAAAATGTAATTCACTCCTCCTCCAACCACGACCCTGTGAAAGTCATTACAGGTCACATGGCCCCCCCCCCCCCCC